TCATATAATTTATTTTAGTAAAAAATCGAGGACCCATCTAAAGAAAGAAATCATGAATATTTGATGAAAACAAAAACGAAAACATCAAACCTCATGTCGTGTTGCACTAATAACAAAAGCATGTTCATTAATTAGTTTACATAAAATAATTTTAGCATCCGATGGTACAACTGTTGATGATTCTATTTGATCAAGAAATGAATTCCATGTATCTATAGTTAATCGAATCTTTTAAGAAAAAAGAAAGAGAAAAAACATTTCTCAAAAAAAAATAATTATAAATATTACTTTAACTTTTGGTTCTTCTATTTGATACATATATATTGTAAATAAACAATAGAGTGCACCGAGTTGTATAGGTAAACGCCATGGTTCGCCCAGATAAGCAGCAGCTACTGTCATTGAGTCATCAAGAAACTATTTAAAGAAAAAATAAACTTTGACTATAATATACATATATATTTTAAATACGAACAAATCGAAATGAATTTGGTTGAATATCTGCAGATCTAAATTATGAAGAACAAAAGAAATAGTATGAATAAATAAGATGATTAAATAAATACTTAAAAAGTAATTCAAGTTTATGTTTTCGCCATACACATGCAAATGATTGATAATCATGATTAGGTTCTTGTTCAAAATCATGTAAAAGAGAATCAAAATCTGATGATATTGGAGGTAAAAAATTATATGTATAATATGCTGCCATAAATATTTTTCAATGCAGTACACAAAGTTTTGTTTGCTTTTTTTCCGTTAAAAATACGCATAAGTATAAATGATGATTCATTCTCACTACTTTATTAATCTATTCTTGTTGAAGCATGAGAAAGATGTCACTGGTTATAAATGCAACTCTTAAGTTTATAATCATGCCGCAAGTTTTTCAGAAGTAATGACTGAAATGAATGTCGTTACTTTAGTTAGTTAGTTACCATGTGTATGACTGATTAGATCGAGAGAGAAACAGCAGGAAGTTCAGTCTTAAGAGCTGTTCTAATCGAATAAATAGTACCTATTGATACTAATCGGTTAAATCGTATAAGGACAGTATGTGTATGTTTGTTTTTTGTTAGTTCGTATCATAAATTTATAACTATATGAAATGATATTTGATTTCATTTGAACTAATTTCCCTATACGCCATATCTTTTTTGAGTGTAAAAATGAAATATCAATGAAGAATTCAAATCAAAACAATAATATGATAGGACTATTGGTACTTTATTTCTATAGAAAAACTTCTTTGGTTAAAATAGGAAATTTTCTGTAATTTCTACTTAACATGCAGTCCGTGTGGAGTACAAAAGTTCGAAATTAGAAACTATACCCCTAAAATGAAATACATATGATAGTCCTCAGTGTATACCTTTCGATTAGTTCTATACAACACATTGTCGACTAGGCAAAATTTGAAAATGTCTATGAAATATTTTATGAAAACAAATTTGAATGATGTACTAAAATCACACCTTCTTTCATCACATCAAAGTGAACAACTAGTCATGTTTTGATTTTATATATTGATGTTTTGATTTTATATCATTTTGAGTTTTTGGACATTCATTATCAATGCCAATTATATATTACTCATAAGTCCATCATTTTCTAAATCATACTATTTCAATAGACATGTAACTGGTAAGAAGCGATAGATCAACAAATATCTTTATGATAGTATTATTTATTTTATTCACGTTCATTTAGGAATAATCAAATAGCATAGAAATTTATCGATTGAGTGTAAAAATATGTTATTAATCACTATATTGTATTCACCAGTGAAAGATTGAATTCGTCAGTTAGAAGCTTAGAAAAATGAATGATAAAAAAGAAAACGAGAAAATATTTTGTATAAATTTTCAACTCTAGATAAACATAGACTTCGAATAACTCTTTCAATATCTTCGTATACAACATATTCAATTCAAATAATACAATGACTAATAATCGAGTTTTATTCATGTTTGTAACCTTATCTCGGATATCTGTAATAACTTCGAACACCGTGAAAGTTGAAAAATCATATAGAGTTCAAAACGAATAGTATACGAACACTCATGGTTACTTATAAAAGATGTTTTACAATTAAATATCAAAGTGATGAAGATTCAATTTTGATATTTAATTGTAAAGCATCTTGTATAAGTAATCATGAGTGTCCATGTTCTATTTATTTTGAACTCTATATGGTTGTACAGCTTTTGTAGTGTTCGTAGTTTTTACCGATACCTCTTTATTTTTCGTAATGATAAATAGCAATGAAGTTACAATAATGAAAGAAATTGACGAAATCAGTGCTATTGCACATGTAGTAATTAGCAATTTCGTCTTTCTTGAAATTAATTAAGTGACTTTGGATAATAAGATCAAAATGGATATTGGTCTTCTTTTTGTGATTTTTCTATATGCGGTGTATATTCATTATATAGATAAAGTTGTATATATTTTATTCAATAAAATATTTTAAAATGAATGATTCGTTCACTTAAAGTTCACATAATGCCTAAGAAAACATATTTGACTATCAACTAAAATTAATCTCAACTATTATTTCAATATAAGATAGGATTGATATTTTATAATTACAATGGTATATTAACAATTGATAGTGAAAAGACAAGTTATACTAATATTAGAGATAAATTCTTTATTCATCGAATATCTATTCTGTATAGATTATCAGTTTATATAAGCTCTAGATGTTAACTTCATAACAACCATTTTTTAATAATCTTTTACATAGCTATTTGAGCGCATTAATTATCGACATTCAATAACATGTCAACTACTAGTATTAAACCATCTCGCACTACTCATTCATCATTATCGTATGTTTTTTTTTGTCTATTTCGTATATTATATCATATAAAATCTTAGATCATCATCAAAATTATCTGAAGAATCTACATTTGATATTGATTATTGGTCACGTTCATTTCTTGCACTTGTTTATCCAGTTTCATTTACTGTTATTATATCGGCTTGTTTATCAATATTTCTTTATGATCTTTATACACAATCAAATGTATTTGAAGATGCTGGTCTTATATTATCATCAAAAGGACCAAATGCAGCATCAATATCAAAAATAACATGGGAATCATTTAAAATAGCATTAATTATAATAAGTATAATTGCATTAGCAACATGTCTTCTTGTTATATTTGTTTATTATGGTTGTATGAAATTTTTATATATTTATTTATTTATAACTGTTATATGTGTTTTTTCTCTTTTAAATATTTCTATATTATCAATGATAATTGCACAATTTAATTCATCAATTGATTGGTTAACAATTTTATTTTTTATTTATAATATATTAACAATTGCTATATTATCTATGTTTTGGTTATCACCAAATAAAATTAAACAAATTATAACAATTTATCAATGTATTATTATGATATTATATGTACTTAAAATAGCACCAGAATGGATTACATGGGTACTTTTACCATTACTTGCTATATGGGATATGATTGCTGTTTTACTTCCATTTGGTCCACTTTATTTATTAATTAATTTATTTCAAAAACGTAAACTTCAAGTACCATCAACAATGGTATATACAACTGGTTTGTGGTTTCAAAATCAAAATATGAATAAATTAATAAGAAAAAAATCTATTCTATTAATTGAACAATCCTCAAGTTTAAATTTAATTTTTCTATCAAATAATACATATAATTATTTATATAAACAAGAAAATAATTTTAATATAAATTCTTCATCAACAGATAAACAAATATTGAAAAAACGTTCAACACGTAAATCAATGTTAGGTTTAGGAGATTTTATATTTTATTCAATTCTTCTAGCTAAAACTGTTTTTACATCGGAATGTAATTTATTTGCTATTATTATTGTTTATTTATGTATTATAATGGGTATGCTTATGACAACAATTATTCTTATTATACTACATCGACCATTACCGGCTTTACCTATTTCATTATTAATTGGTTTAGCTGTATTTTTTTATTATAATCATATTGGAAATCAATATGCTGATGTTCTTCGTTTACCAACGGGACCAATTATTATATAAACAAAAAGCAGAAGAATTTCTTTTTTTTTTTTTTGTTTTATGATTACAATAAAGAAAAAAAAGTGAAAGATGACTGACCAGAGAAGTTCGGCAACTAATAAATCATTTTTGAATCAAGACTATGTGTATTGTGTAGATCCAAATAAGTTTTCGATGCTTTGAAAAGAGTTCGACACCTTCGGTTAGTGCCACGAAGATACCAGATTTTTACGCCTCAGGAAAACTAGAATAATTGATTTTCGAATTGAAACTACAGATCTTAACGGGAAGAGGCTTTTTTGGTGAATGCTTCAGATCTTGTCGCTGTCTCTGTCCTAAAATATAGCTATCCAATTCAAAAACTCAGATGAAATCGTACAAAAAAATCGCAGTCTCAGAAATTGTACACTAAATCACGCTATAAGATGATTCTTGAAGGATTTTACCGTGTCATAAATATTTCCTATAATCTTATTATGATGTCTTATAAGGCAGCAAGATCTTTCAAGAATTTTATAATTCGAGTTAGGGTAAGATTTCTGATGCTACGATTTTCGTCTGATGTTAAAAGAACATAGGTACGATCTTGTAAGACTTTACCATCTGATTGATTGACATGAAGTGTCTTTTATATCTTTCATATAAACTGGCAGATTTTATGTTCTTATTTCATAATAGAAGCAAATCAAAAGATCTGAAGCTTTCATAATAAACTACTCCCATTAATATTTGTCTCTATGCAAAGTTTCACGTCGAAAATCAGTTTTCCTAAGGGAAACTATGGCATTCATTTAAAAAATAATGTCAAAGTGCAATATCTCTGCAGTAATAAACTAAGGATACGAACTCATTTCAGAGTATTCATAGTTCATTAGGATCTATATCATACACATAGTTTCGATTCAAAAACGATTTATCATTTGCAGGATTTCTCTCGTAAGATGATCAGTAGAGAATAGAAAATTTAATCAGGTTCTAAAAGTGATATGAAATGATATTGTGTAGTGAGATTCGTTTGATTATCTGTGTCTGGTATTGTTAATTTGTTAATATTTATTGATTCGAGATTTTTGACTGTTGTTAAGATTGTCATATCAGAAATTAAATCATTTCTTGATGAATGAGATCTAAATTTAAATTGATTATTGAAATAAAGTGATATAAATGGACATTGATCAAGAATAATTTCACATAAATTACGTCGAAGACCAAACCACCCTATAAAAATTGAAAAACCAAAAAAAGGAAAAATCTCGAATTCGATGCGAAAAGAAAAACAAAAACATTCATTTAAATAATACAAACATGGATTCGTATCAGTAGCACCAAATGAAAAACTAAGCCAAGCAATTAATGCAATCCATAATGGTATAGCTATCACAGTAAATGAGAGTTTTTGAATTTGATCATTATCTTCATGATCAAGTCGATCAACCAGTAAAATCTTAAATAAAATAAGATGTGATTTTCTCGTATTAATTAACTATAATCTTAACAAAAAAAATTCTATTAATGCTTGTCATCATAGTTCAAAATTGACGGCATAGTATAAGAATTTTATCGTTCAAAGATAGTATCTTATGATAAAAATCTTGTTTTATATTTAAATTTCTATATAATTTCTTGTTATTCTATAAAATATTTTAATCTTTATAAAGATCGATTAATTCTATTTTGTTTTCAAAATTTTTCCTAAAATTTAAATTTTAATAAACATACCGAAAAAATACTAAATGGAATAAACAAAATCGTATAAGTAATTACTTCTGTAATAGTACTTAATTCACGATAATTTGATAGTAAATGATGAGAACATCGATAAATAATAGCAAGAATAAATTTTGCAATTATAAATAATAATGCAATACATAAAGAAATCCATACTGGAATAAAGACAATCTATATTTAAACTAAAATAAATATAATTTATATTTTCTCAAAAAATATAACATACAACATATCGCCATGTAATAAAATAATCTAATCGAAATGGAAAAAATAAAAAGAAAAGTCCATTAGCTGCAATAAAGCCTTGAATCTGTATAAAAAAACAAAATGAATATTTTTTCTTTTCTTTTTTTTTTTAAATAAAGTATTAACATACAAGAAAATTTCTTTGTACTTTTAATGACCATAAGCATGATATAAAAGAAAGTAATGTACATATAAGTAATGGAATAAAACATATAATCCAACGAGTATCAAGATGATTTTCTAATTTGTCACATGTAAGTAATTCAAATGTAAATATAAGGATATGCATAAGAAAATAAATAATCAATGCTTGACAATCATTATCTGGTGTTCGAATAATCCTTTACAAAGAAAACAAAGCTATTAGTACAATGCCTGTAAGATTTCGTATATCAACAACGTCTATCACGGAGAGGAGGGATGTTGATAAGGAGTCTGCGATGATCTTTTACTACCCAAGTCGAAAATACTCAATAGGATCCTATCGGATTGATGAATAATCCGACGGGAATGCCAATAATCAGAAACCAGTTACATCCATTGATTTCCGACAATAGGATCCGCCGTTATCCGACAGCTGGAAACCTATCTAATTCGACAACATCGCATGCAAGTTTGTTAAATTGCCGCCAGTTTACTATGGTCAATCGACGGTTTTCAATAATTGGTTTTGATTACTATAAATTATTACAAAGCAAGTATTTATTTACATAAATAATTTTTTTTCCTTATTTAGATTAATCTCAATATCAAAATGACCAGTAAATATAAGTATTTATTTACATAAATAAATTTTTCTTTTTTTTATTTAGATCAATCTCAACAACAAAACGAAAGATAAGTATTATTTTAGAAAAAGAAAGACAATTTTATACTACTTATAGCCAGCGCGAACAACATAGAATGGCGTTGATTAGTTTAGCAGGATGTCCCAATTCTTTTTTAATCACATTGTTTCTATAATGTATGAGGTAAATATGATTTTTTTTTACCGTTTATAGTACTCCAGGAGCACCATAACCGGTAAAAAATCATATTTATCTCATACATTCTAGAAACAATGTGATTAAAAAAGAATTAGACATCCGGTCAGACTAATCAGCTCCATAGATATATATATATATATGTATATTATGCATTATAAAATAAAAAGCTGATGAATGAAGCATCCATGTTGCAGATATCATCGAATCTTATACTTTTCGACATCTTCCGATTGACGGATCCGATATCTGACAACTTCCTATCGGAATCCGATACCAAGGATCCCAACAACTTCCGACGGGATCCTGTCGGAAATTACCGGATTTTCCGTCGAAATTTATCGGATTATACGGGATATCCTATAGAATCCGACGGAACTTCTCATCCTGAGTAGCATCTATCACAATCTGTGAGGGCCAGGTCTGGAGTGTGTGCAAATTTCTACCCTATATAAATTCCTCTCTGCAATAGAAGACTTCTAGTCTTCGAGTATGTCCAACTGTATAAAGTTTTCAGAGCCTTCTATTCTGTTATGTTCCATTTATTTCCATAATTTTTAATTAAAAGATTTTTTCAGAATTTGAGAAGATATTTTCAGGGCTTTAAGTGTCAAGAAATGATGCTGACTTCAGTGTTTTAAAATTTTCAATTTAAAAGCCGGAAAACCCCATGTCTACTCGTACACTATTGGTACGTATGATATTTTTCTTTCTTCTTATTCGTTTATTTTTATGAAATAAAACATAACAAAGAACATGTCTGATAAAAACGTTAGAATATTTTCTTAATAAATAAATATAGGTTTTCATTAAATTTCAGACGTTTTATCTGAAGAAACATCTGATCAATCAATAGAAGCTCACATTTGATTATTCTTGCAAATTTTTTGAATTGTTTTAAATGCGAAGTCTTTTATTATTCTCATTTTTTTAAATTTTTATTTAGATCTCATGATTTCTATTTTTTTAATTTATAGATTGATTTCTTCTTCTCTTATTTCTAGTTTAATAACTTCTAATTGTTTTGTGTATCTCTGTACTTTTTTACGCTTTCAAAAATAAAAATAAAATTGTAAAAATAATTAATTATTTTTTCTACAGTTCATTATAAAATTAGATGGAGTAATGCCCGTAGATCTACGATGAAAATCGACCAATAGTAATACGTGTTACAAAGCACACGGATGTTTGGTACGCACCGCAGTGCGTAATTCATGTCATGTTTGGTAGGCGTACATCATCGTAGAAATAGTATCTCGTACGTGCGACGTCATACTTTGTACGCATGACGGTATGTCTATGGTCGTCACGTGCATCGATCAAATGTGACGTCATGCATACAACGGCGTATCTCTAGACGTGAGATACATCTTTCCTTCGAAGGACTCTCTTATTTTGGAGAGGAATTTCCTTCAACGCTCCTTTTAGATCGTGTTTTCTAATGTCTGAATGATTCTTTACAAATACAAAAAGTCAATTAAGTTTTAAATAAAATATCTTTCTACCTATTTTGTTCACCATTTCTACACCAGACAAAAATTCCTGTGCATGCACCAAGAATTACAAAAAGTTTCCATATGAATAATGGCAAGAAAACAAGCCAATAACTAATTTTAATATGCTCATCAATTCGTAATGCAAATAGAATTGAGAAGATCAATAGAGAAAATGTTATAACAAAGCGACTAAAACAAAGAAAATAAATAAAAAAAAAACAAAAGGAAAATCGAATTTCTTACGATGGATTGCAAGACTGAATATACCGAGAGGTGTCCATCCATCATCAATTAATCTAAAAAAAAAAAAGAATTTTTCGATGAAGAAAAACAGAATTAGACATCTTTCTTTTTTTTTTATATTAATTAATCAAACATCTATCATTGAATTCTATTCAGTAGTGGTACTAATGAATTATCGAAAAAGTAATTTGATAAAATATTCGTTCATTTTTCATACTCTTAAAGAAGACTACAGAATAATTTTGTGTTCATTCCGAATATGACTTCAAAATTTTTGTAGGACTTCTGTGAATCTTTTTTTCTCTCGATATGAAAATCATTGGAAATTTCCTTGATGTAAATGATAATGAAATATTCAATATTAAGTAACGTTTCAAATATCGGATATAAATGTAATAATTATTTCCATGCATCTTGTTGTAAATCGAACCCGTCTTATTTGTAAAAGGAAACATAGATAAAAAAAAATGTTCTTTTGAAAGAAAATCTGTCTTACAATGATTAGCCATTACTCGACTGTCAAATGATATATAAATAAATATAATTAATATAATATATAGTAATAAATAGACAACAATAAATAGAATATCAAAAAATAGTTCTCAATAAAAAAAAATACAAACTACAAAAATATCTAAGTAATAAATTAAAATCAATTTTATTGAAAAACCTAATTTCAAAAATAAGTGAAAAAAAATATCAATACACTTACATTCCCACCAACTGAACTAACCTACATCTCCCAAAAAAATTTCGATTTGATTATTAGTGACCAACTGTCTACGTAATCATTATTATTTCCATAATAACATATCATTATTCAAATAAGACAAACCACGCAAAAGAAAAAAATTGATCAATGCGCACTCCTTACAATCCATAATACAATAAAATCTATCTATATAATATTTTAATTAACATAAAAATAATTATAACTAATTCCGAATCGCATAATTCCAATAGCCTAAAAAATAAGTTCTAATACATTAACAAAATATGCATCTTGAGTTTATATTTGTAAAAAGAAAAAATAAAAAGAACATTAATTTGAAATTTTTACCTCGTATGATCAATCATGCATAAAACTGATATCATTGAAAGTATAATTGACTGTTTAAAAAGTACCTAACCAATATGGTTGAAAAAATTGTAAAAATTAATGAACCAACTGAAATGAAAAATGGACTAAAAAAAAATACAACATTTTTTAGAATAGAAAAAATAAGTAAATTACAATGTATTGAATTATTTTTTGCTCAACTAAAACTCTGTTTATTGAATCATTTGATAAAAAAATACTTTTTTTTTCTATTTAAATATAAGACTAGATTATTATTTAATTAATAATTGATAAAAGAAAAAAAGAAAGATGAACGACAACATCTCCAGTTTCTTTTTCTTATCGAACTTAATCGGTCTTGCATGTACGTTATTACCAATGTAAAAAGAATACTTCTGTCTTTCTTTTTTTTTTATCAGAAACAGATGGCGCTATGAAACTACTTCATAGTATTATTAAAAGACGCTTTTTTTTTATTACAAATATTTAAAATTTTCATTTTGATTTATTGAAGTATTATCAGTTTGACAAGTGATAAATTTTACATATAGCAAACGACAATTTTCTATTATAATCAGCAGTTCTTAAAATTCTGGATAGACATAAATACAAAGATATTCAATGACTATAATTTCCATTTTAGAATATGTAAAATATAAATTAGAAATAGACATAGAATAACGTTTTTTCTGTAGAGTCCTATCAAGCAGAAGACCAAACAGGATACTTTTTATTAATTTTCGATTAAGCAAAGAATATAATTAACTTATCCATCATCTACTAACCAATTTATTTAATATTATTTAATTATACATTTGAATAATTGTTAAGTCGATAAATGCATCAAAAACAAATATAACACTACAATAGATCTTTATTTTAATAATATACTTATTTGCATTATTAGAATTATAACCTATTGTGTCAAAGAAAGCGTAGGACAGCCTTTTTCTATTCTGTTCTACGTTAGATCATCATCCTGCAAAGCGGTCGGACACCATAAAAAAAAATGACTTCTCACTCTGTACTGTAGGACAGGAAACTAGAATGATCGTGACGTTCTTTCCTTTGTTCATTTTTTGGCTTAAATAGAAGAAAACTGAACTGACTATAGTCACGAGTATGTTTATATAAGAGTAATCTTTTAAATTAAAACTTTAAAATTTTATATTTAAAATGAAGATACGATAGATAAGTATATATTGGCGAATCAATACAGATAAAATGAGCGAAACTCATTTGGAAGGATTTGTTAATATCATAAACAGAACAAACCCACTATCGATAATTGAACAGCTGACACTTATTTTAATATTTTCTATCTTGTTTGTTTATCACATGATATTGGTACTATTTAACAAATGTTACTGTCACTCTGAAATTGTTGATCTTCTTATCAAGCTGTCAATAAGAATCAACAGTATGATTGATAAAGTATCATGATCAAATACATAAAATATATTGATAGATTTAAACAGGTCTTCTTAAGTTACTTATATAATAAAATAATTAATTTTTCCAACCGATAAAGTTAGTCAATCAATTCTACAATGAAAATTATTTTTCAATGATGTTTTACTCGTTACGGTTCATTTACTTTCGTATAATAAAAAGATCATGACTTTCTTGTTATAAAAACGTTTATTTGTACAATGCATCTTGTTTTTTTAATTTCATTAAAATCAACATGTAAACTATACATCATTATACATAATTCACTTCAAAACCACAAAAAAAAAATCTGTATACAATAAATAAGTATCATATTTTGTATGCCTAGATTGTACATATAGGTTTTTTTTATTATAATAAATATTTATTTTTAACGAGCAGCCTTATGACATTCGACTGTCTAATTAATTCTATGCATTCAAGTTTTTTTTTTTGTGTTTGATTATTTCATGTCTCTTACAAATCAAGGTCAATAACTCAATCATCTCTTGTCATTCGTGATATATAGGTACTAGAATGACAAATAACGGTTAGTCTTTATCAATGAGACTGATTCAAAATGTATAAAAAGGAACTAGCAAATTAAGAAAATTTTTCAAGATAAAAATGATTGCTAGTTTTCTAAGGACAGAGTCCCGGAAAAACTAAAACCTATGTTTTTCAACTTCTGAAATTTACAAATAGAATTCTGTTTGAATGATCTAGAATAAGAGAGCAAACAATTCTCTATAAAATAAAACGTCTTCCTAGAGAGGGAACTAGTACCAGTTCCAGTTCTGTACGATATTTTTAGATCGAGATACACCAATCTTACAGTCGTTTTTTTCTTCTATTTCGTTTGGAAGTATTAGTTTTATGCCTTCCGTAAGATTGATGTATTTTGGTCCGTAACGAACTGAAAGACATTTGATTTTGCAGATGATTGTTTGATCAGTCATTCGAGGTAATTCAAATAGAATTCTATTTATAGATTTCAGGAGCTAAAAGAACCTTCAGTTTTGTTTTTCAGAAACTTTGCTCTTGGAAAACTAGTAATCATTTTCATCTTCAAAAATTTTCCACACAAATCACTATTTTGATTCTGTTACGAGAGTTGACGGTAGTGAAAAAAAGGTTAATATCTATTTTCTTGTTCGATATCATTCATTATAAAATTTAAAAGATAGAATAAGTTCATACAAGGAAATTTATTAGAATAATTATCAAGCAAATATTCATTTTTGATATGAAATTGAATTTATATTTCATATAAATAATTTTCAATTAATATAATCGATTTTTCTAAATGATCTATTTAATGTGTAAATGAAATTTTTTTCTTTTTTAAAACTAAGTCAATAAAATAAGCACGTTGATTAAATTCTATATATATGATGAGAAAAGTTGAATCATTAAAAAAACATCAAATGCTGAAAAGCAAATGATTCAAATAAATAAATAACAATCAATTTGTTTGTTTTTCATTTTACACATATTTTGAAGTTAAACAAACAGGTGTATTTATTAATAAACGAATCCGTGTGTAACGATGACATTCACCTGTTAGTATATCAATATCAAAAAGTTTTATTCCAGTCAAACAAAATAGAAAGATACATAGTATTTCTCTTCTACACACACAATTCGTCGTTCTGTTCTGTGTCTTCTTACCTTTCTGTTTTTCTCCGTTTTTCTTTTTCCTCAGTCTCTTTACTAAAATTAACACACTATGATGTGTGATGTTGGGCGACGGCGGTAATGATGCCAAAGAAGAGAATAACAGCAGTCGACAATGCTATCCCTGTGTGTCTGTGTTTTTTTTCAACCACAATAAAAAAAAGAAGGACATATGTGGAAAAAAAAAAGTATATTCGTCAAATAAATCGAGTAGGAGAGGAGAACGAATAGATAACGACAACTTACGATGAATACAAGACATCTAAGGAGAAGAAGATATAGACTAGTGCCTAGGTAAGATTTCTCAAAGTTGACATTTTATTTCTTTTTCTTTTTTTAGTTGAAATATTTATAATTAAAACAAAATAATATGGTTTGTTGTGCAAGAACGAGAGAGCTATGTAGAAGAAAAAAATGTATTTCCTATACATTTTATTAGAAAAGGGGCAATCGTGTGAAGTATACATATTTGATGTATTATATAATCATCATAAAGAACGTTTTTTTTATTTAAAAAAAAATAGTATCCGATTGCGTCGTAAAGTTCTCATCAATATTGTTCGGACAAGAATCTTGTAGAATTGAGAAATCAAAGAAAAGCGCCATCTCTAAGGTACTAGAAAAATCAACGAAAAGATTTCCTAAGATTATCTATAAAAGATTTTTTGATCTATAGTTCGTTTTTTTTATATATAAATTAATTAAAAGTAAATATATGTAGTTATAAGTTCATAGTTAGCAATAAATAATAAATCATAAGTAATATTTGTTAGTTCCTTTGTTATATAATTTTTTTTTTGAAGAGAATGATTTTCATGAAATTTTTGTAGTGATTTATAATTGAGTATTGTAAATTAACAATAGTTATGGATACTATCCAACAAGAGGATGATTTATCGATTAAATCTGATGGTAAGAATGTTGTTGTTTTTTTCAAAGACATAGATCTATTGTTGGTTTTTCTGTTTTCTAGAAAGTCTATCGATACCAGTTGCTATACCCGGTCTTACTCCTTCAACTAATCCAAGAACAATGCGTGAATATGATACAGTAAATAAATAATTCTTTTTTTTTTTTTGTTTTTAGTATTTTTTCATATCTATTATTTCATTAGGAACAAATTAATTGATTCAGGTGAATTAAAATATACACATAGATTGTGACTAAATTAAACATAACCGACCTAACAATGTTTTGATAATAACTAGTAGTTTTTCTAACTACACATAGGAGAACGAAAACTCTGATTAAGAGATATGATAATGCATACTTTACATATCTTTCTATAGATAAAAATGCTTCAGACATCATTTACATTTATTTATTTCTTATCATTAAAATTTAAATAATTATAAAAATTTCATGATGAATATTTATTTATTTCAATAAATCGATTTGAAATATTTATAAAAAAAATCTTTTCTATATTTTATTTAAATGTCGTGTTTTCTTCTTTAATATTATCTATGAGTTGTTTTCTTCATGTGTCTAATTATAACAAAATCTTATATTTATTTTCTTCTATTATGAGTATTTCTAGTTAATATTTGATACTTCTTTTTTTTCTTTGCTTTCATTTATCGATTGACGCTCTATCATCTAATCTGTATTTGGCTGACCGTGGAAAGAAAAAATGAGATAGAAGATATGTATGCATGTTTGTACCTATATTATGTTTAATATCGTAGTATTTTAACACTTAAGAGATAAAAAAATACACAATGGAAGAAGTGGTTAGTTGAAAAGATTTATTCTCTTTTTTTTTCTTTTTCATTTATTTTAACATATTGAATTGATTAAATATGAAATTTTTTTTTTTTTGGTTTCTAGGAATTTCAAGAACTTAAACGTGAAAATTTCGATTTAAAATTACGAATTTTTTTCCTTGAAGAACAAAATGAACTTGCATTAGATAGTAGAGATATATCATCAACAACAATTCAACGTCATCGTCGTTTTCATCCAACACAATATGAACAGGGTGATCAACAAGAAATAGTAAAATTAATAAATATTTATTTAATTTTCGTTGATTATCTATTTATTTTCTTTTAGTCAATTATCGGACGATCAACAAACGAATCTTATCAAGCATCATCATCAAGTCGGTATGTTAGTTTTAGTTTCGTTTTTGCTTATTTAAAATCAATACATAATATACACTTTCATATTCATTTTTGATTCTTAAGTTAATCGTTGCCTAACGAAATAAAATGAACTTTTGAATGATGTGATTTTAGTCTCTTTCTCTCTCTCTCTCTCCCTCTCTCCCTCATTTTCTTTTTCCTTTGCCTTTCTTTTCTAAATCAAACTCTGTATGTCTCTTGATCTTCTATTGCAATTGTTCTGTAATATATGTATTTGACTATATAGAGTATTGAATCCATAGAAGCGTAAGAATAAGTACGGGGGGAAAATGAAAGAGTAATCGAACAGATGAAAGACAGCTGAAAGTATTCAACTTATTGTTCTACAATGGGTGCGACACAATCAGCAGCGATACAAGAGCCAAATGATGATAAAGTGGAATATATTAATGATGATTTCGATACGAGGTGATTCTATTTTTTTTTTAATGATTTATTTTTAAGCTTTGTCAACTAATCAATTGAGAAGATATCATATATAATAGGAATTTAGAAGGAAGGCACTAAAAGTGATCATGCGTCCTAACAAGTTTTATGACTATGCTCCTTTCCAAAAATCCTACATCCTTCATTGTGCTATATGTCTCCCCCCCTCCCCTTTTTTTTTAATAGAAAAACCAAGGATTAACCGACTCTTAGTGTTGACAAAAAAGCTCATTGCAATACTTCTCTACCTACACACACATACATTTTTACATATACTTTCAGACTATCAATTTTTTTTTCTTTTCTACATGCTAGGCATGTCTATTCTTAACATCATAACTAATTCCATTAGGTATAATTATTAAAACTTTTTCAAAAAAAAAAACATAACATAGCGGTTTTTTTTATATTGTCTGCTGTGGTTTGTTCTCTTGATCGATTTGTTTACTTTCTTCTTTTTTCTTTTTTTTTTCTTGTCAAGCCATCAACAAGGAACACAAGTTAGTAATATTCAATTGAATGATGAAAACGATGAGTTACATCAATTAAAAACTGAACTTGAACGGTATCATCAAGAAAATGCAAAACTTCGTGAATTACTTCGTAATTCTGGTGAATTTGGAGAGAACATAACAACATCAACTGTTGATCAACATATTCAAACAATAACTTCACACGCTGATTCAACTTCAGATAGAGCTATGCCTGTTAATCAATATACTTTACAATTCAATGAACGTGAAAGAAATTTTCAAGAGGAAAATAATTCATTAAAACAAGTATACAAAAAAAAAAAAATAATTATAGAAAATAATCTATTGTTTTTTTACATTAAATACAGGAAATAACTGCGTTAAAATCAAGATTAATTGAAGTAAATAGAAACTTGTTTACAAGAGAATATTATTTCTGTTTTTTTTTTTGGTTTTTTAATAGGCTAATAACATACTAGAAGAAGTTAATCAGAGATATAAAGAAGAACAAATAAAAGCTGACCGTGTATTGAGACGTTTAAAAGCTGATTATGATACACGTATTGCTGTAATATTTTAAAAAATAGTCGAAATTTCATTTTTATTTAATATCATTTTATCTAGAATATGGAAGCAGAATATCAACAAAAATTAGCTACATATGAATCATATCGACATGAGGTAAAACTCAAAAAAAAAATATATATATGTATATATATTTCTTATTATTAATCTTGTGTAAAATAGTTTAATTCGAAAGAATAAAATATATCTTAGCAATAAAATAAAACAACATTTTCTTTTAGCCATTACTCGCTCGAATTCGTTTTTCTTATCCATTGGTTTGTATTTCACATGGCTTATAAAATTTTTTCCCGCTCAGCTATCCTCTGATTTCCATCATTCTATAATTGAATTTTACTCACTGTTATCAGATAAATTTTTTGTTTGCTTGATTTTTTTTTTCAATGCTTTATTATATAATTATTCACAAATTTTGATAAATTACTATGAGAGAAAGAAGATGATTTTTAATTTAAAAAAAAAATATGAATTTTTATTTATATTTGATTTTCTTTTTTTTTTTGGTTTTGTTTGTGTAGCAAGAACAAACAAGTTCCAATGTCAATGTTGAAGAATACCTTCGAACAATTGATCAGCAAAGTCGGACCATTAAAGTATGATTCCATATAAGAGAGAAATTTTTAAAAAAACCGAAAATCGAAATCTAAAAATATATTTTTTTTTTTCAAAAAAAAAAATCATATAGGATCTTGAAAATCAAATTGCGGAATTCACTAAATGGTCATATCCAGTACCAACACATTCTCATTTAACTGAAGAAGTTAATAGATTTTTTTTTTAAAGAGATTAATCATAATAAATATTTATAGAATTTTCAACGTTTAAATGACAAACTAACATCATATGTTAAAACTGTTGAAGTATGAATTTTCAATTGATTTATATTTCAAATAATTAACATAAGTTTAATTTTTAGAATTTACGAGCAGAATGTGATGAACTTCGACGAAGTGAAAAACATTTACGATTACAAGTCGCTAAATTACTTCGTCTTTTGGATCCATCGATATCATCTTCAGATGTATGTTTAAAAGAGAAAATAAAAAAAAGAAGTTCTTAATAAAATAACATTGTTTTATACTAGTTACCACCATTACCTCGACCATTATCAACGGTTTTTATTTATTCATTATTATTTTTCTTAAGAATTTTGTGGTTTTTTTTCAATTTAGGCTGTTACTGATACTCAACAAGTTGAAGTATGATTTTTATAAATATTTATTTTAATTAATTTTCATCTTGTAGAATCCTGAAGCAACTGTTGCTCAAGTAACAGTACAACTTCGAAATGTTGCTGATGATGTATCTGGTTTAACAAATCGTATATCAAAAATAAAACGTGATTATGATGATGTAAAAATAAAAATTCTCTTTTTGGTTTTTCATATATTTATTAAAAGAAAAATATGTTTTTCTTTTCTTTTTGTATTTAGAGTCAAACTTTAATTAGAAAACAAGAGACACAAATTCAAGTAGAAATTTTAATTTTTTTTTAAATTCTGATCATTTCATTATTATTGTTATTATTTTATTATTATTTAGCAATATGAAGTACGTGCATCTGAAATTGAAAAACAAACAAGAGAAACATTTAATTTAAAAATCGAAGCATTTGAACAAGAGAAAAAAAATTTAGCAATACAAGTATAATTTATTAAGAAATTTTTTTGTTTTTTTGTCATTTTAATAATTAATTTTATATTTAGATTGAAGAACGTGATCGTCGTTTAAGAGAAATTACGAGTGAGATTGATCAAATAAGATCACAAGTTATTAGAGAACTTGAAATTCAATATACTCGAGTATGTTCTTTTTTTTTCTTGCTTTATTATTCAATATAGATTTTTTTTTCATATAAATTTTCAGGAAATACAAACTTTACAAGAACAAAATGAAGTATATATATATATATTATTTTTACACTTGTGTTTAATTCTCTTTTGTTTGCTTTTAAATGAATAGCAACAGAAAACACAACTTGAACAGTATCTTATAAAACATCGAGAAATGGAAAATAATTTTCAACAAGTAAAGTTTTTTGTATTTAAATAATTTGTTTTCTATTTCTTCGTTCTATTCTTTTAGGAACGAATTCATCTAGAACGAGAACGAGATGTGAGAATTGAATATTCGTGTTTTTTTTTCTTTTTTTTTTGTTAAATTAATTGTATCTAGTTCGAAAGGGGAAAAGTTAATCAAATACAAATTGAATTAGATACTTCTATTGCACGAAATAAAAATCTTGAAACTCAAAATGATCAAGTACATATTTTTTTTTCTTAATAATTAAAGTATTTTTGTTATTTTCTTGTTTTTTTTTAAAGTCACAATCGATTATTGTTGAACAACAAACAAAAATTGGCAATCAAAGTCAAGTAAGAATTTATTTTACTTTATATAAATATTCTAAATTTTAATTTTTTTTGTATAGAATTTTCAAAGTCAAATAACTCAAATTGAAACAGTAAACAATACAATAAAATAAAATAAAAAATCTATATATTTCTTTCCTTTTCAGGAAAGAAATAATCTAAACGATGAATTACAACTTGTGAAACATGAAAAACAAGTAAAAGTCATAGTTTCTGTATTTATTTTTTTGTTTCTTAATAATCTATTTCTTTAGACAATGAAAGATCAACTATATGAATATGAAACTGAATTTACTAGATTAACACAATCAAATGATGAGGTAATGAAAAAATATTTAAAAAATTACACACAATCATCGAATAAATTCTTTTGTGACTAATTAGTTAAACGAACAAATAACTGTTTATGAAGTTCGTTTACGTGGTAGTGAAGCTGATAAAAATCGATATCAAAATGAACTTAATATATTACAACGTAGTACTCAAAGTACAAAAGAACAATTTGAGACTCTTCAAAGTGAAATTCAGGTACAATAA